TATGAGCATACAAAATCCCTGTCTCAAAGAGGAAGAAAAACCATGCATAAATTTATGAAAAAAATTATTAAAAATTAGCTTTTTAAAAGGGATAGTTGCAAAAATAGGACTGCTCCTATCTGTGTAGGGAATCAGAAAAAGACTTTCCTAAAAGTATAGTCCTTGAAATGGAAAAACCTAAGGGTTTATACAAACGTCAGCAACATGTGGTATTCTTTCATTAGAACATAAATTTCAAGTAGAGGATTAGAAGCAACTAAATCCATTGGAAAGAAAATTAAGGGCCATTTTGAGGAAAGTCTTAAACGCAGGGGTGAGGGTCAAGTGCATTTAATAAGTAGGCCACAAGGAGCCACAGACAGTTTGGAAATATTTTAAGAATATTAAAATTGAATTACAGTCAAACGGACCAAAAATAGCAGAGAACAGAAGTACAAGATCAAAATAAAAGGCAGCTACAATAATCTAGGCAAGAAATAATAAATGACCAAACTAAGACCTAAGACAGTACTAGCAGAAATAAGGAGAAAAGGGCTGGATCCTAGAGATAAGGCAGAGTGGACAGGCTCTAAGCCGCCTGCCAGGAATCTCCATCTCTTGGTGGTCATGCTCCTGTGTAATCCTCTCCACCTGAGTGTGGGCAGGACCTGAGCTGTCCCTTCCATGATTACATTACAGAGGACTCTAACTTCAGTTTTATCAGCAGACTCTCCCTGATGTGATATGAAAATGGTCATGGTGGGCAAATGGGAAGCAGGTTAATGACAAATCTACAGATAGGAACTTAGATGGCTAGAGAAATGGTGATGCTACTAACAGAAGTCAGAGAAAGGGGGTGGGTTGTCTTCTTTGCAGCTAGTGCAACAGAGTAGAAGTAAGTAACCTGATTTTGTTCATATTATAAGTAAAATGTCTAGTGTATCAGAACTGCTTAACAAAATTTATGGAGGAAGCTAGAGCTAGAGTTAAAAATACAGACATCATCTACTTAAGAATAATAATCAAAACTACCGACTTAGAATATTTTCAACAAGAGCAAGGCATAATTAATTAATTGTCTTGGGCAAAATGGAGTTGGAAGTTATTAAGGAACTCTGAGGCCAAGATGTTAAAGTGTCATAAACATTTATTTTCCTCCTCTATGTAAGGAGAAAAATTAAGAAGAAATAGACAGTAGATGCTAAAGTTATTAAGGAAGGCAGGCAAGCACCCTAGATTTATACACATAGCAAAAAAGAAAAAAGATGGGGCAAAAATGAAATCACAAGACATCGACTAGAGAGGGGAGTTCAGTCTTCACCTCCGTCTTTAACACTCTGAGCTATGTCACCAGAGTGGCCTTTTCAACAGTCCAGCCCAACAGTTCTTCGATCGCCTTCAACATGCTTGGAATCAAGGGATCCAAGTGTCCAAGATTATGTCATTTCAAATGGAAGACTCTTTCTCTGCTTCACTTATACTATTGTTCTCAAGGTATGCATGATGTAAAAGTACCTTAAAAAGAAATTCTATGTATCCTTTAAGACTAAACTCAAGAAAGCATTTTATTTTTTTAAATTTGGGGGGCTTTTGAGGGGGTAGGAGGAGGTAATTAGATTTGTTTATTTATATATTTTTAATGGCAGTACTGGGGATTGAACCCAGGACCTCATGCATGCTAAGTGCCTGCTCTACCAATGAGCTACACCCTCCCCCCTCAAGAAAGCATTTTAAATAATCATTATTTGTCAAGTGGATAAGGCTTAGCTCCACCTAAAATGTACAACGAACACATAGATGGTACAATTAAAATAGTTTTTTAAAAAACTAAAAATTCTATAACCGTTCTCTTTAAGTTCTGATTTAAATCTATGACCAATGATACTGCTTAAAAAATTAGAATGGAAGGTAAGAAACTTTACAACTAAACCTCAAGTGGCTCACCTCGGAAGCAGCAGCAGCAAGAACACTGCTTGCCTGCCCGTTCATTAGGTCCATGCTTCCCACAACATCAGTCCCTGACGCAGTTTAACAGCAACAGAAGACTGCTTGCTTCACGTCCAAGGCCACACATACATTATTATCCCTGTAAAACATAAGCAGAGAACTTTAAATGTGTGTCTTACTGGAAGTTTAAGAAAACAAACCCACGCCTATCACCAAGCCAAGGAATAAAATACTTCAACTTTACTAACCTCTATTTTTCATTTCAGTTAAATCACTAAATCCAGTTTAGTGCTATTTTCAAATGATCAGAAACACTTAATGTTCTTTGTCAGCAAAGCAAAAGCCTAAGTTTTCCATTTACTGTGAAAAAATTCAAAACCCTTTTTAGTTTTAAGTCAATAAAAAGTGTTTAAAAAAATGTGGCAAAGTAACACATGGCGTAACAAAATCAGTTTTTAGAGCTCTAAATGACATTCCTAAATCAGCCTTACACAATTAGATTAGCATTCCTGATGATTTAGTTTACAAAGACGACACAAATAGTTAAAAATAAATTATTATGGAGCATGTTATAAAAATACCACAATACATGACATATTTATTTGTATAGAGCTTTAAAGTTCACTGACTATCTCCTATCCATTATCTCACTGACCTTCACAACCACCAAAAAGGCTAATTAAGTAAGGCATCACTATGCTCCTAGAACACAAAGAAACACAGCCTCCGAGGACACAGCCTGGTAAAGGAGTCAAGAATAAAATTCAAGCCATTTAAAATTCTAGTCAAATACTCTTTCCACACCAACATATTTTTTTCATTTTACTGGAAGTCAGAATATTTACTTGAGGTTCTAATCCCTTTCCACAAATGACTTGCTGTATAGCACTATTTTGGAAACTGTACCTAAGAGAGAATTTCCTTCTCTTTGTAAAATGACAGGAATAAACAGTCTTCAAGGCCTCTTTCCAACTTAAAATTCCACGATGTTTCCCATGACAGAAATAAGTGTTTATAAATTAGGTATTTAAAACTATCTCTACTTTTTAAAAATTGCAGTATAACTGACTTACATTACTATATTAGTTTCAGGTGTACAACATAGTAATTCTGTATCTTTACATAGAAAAATGACCACAACTGTAAGTCCAGTTCCCATCTGTCACCATACCAACTTATTGCAACATTACTGACTATATTCCCTATGCTGTACATTACAAAACTACACCTACTTTAAAAACCGAGTTTGAAATATCCATAATAATTTTCTCAAAATGCTGTTTCCTTTCTCTGGAGAACCAATACAGGAAAGTGATTTAGAAGCACAGACGACAGAGCAAAACAAGTCTGAACCCAACAAACTGTTTAACTTTTCTGTGCTCAGTTTCTTTACCTATAAGACAGATATAACACTGCCTACTTTACTGAGTCGTGGTGAGGAGAAATTAACTGATATACGCAAAGCACCCACAACAGTGCTGACACGTGGTAAGAGTGCTACTATCATGATGCAGATTTTGTCTACGATCTTCTTAATCCACACAAAACCTAAATTAAATGGAGTCTTCCAATTAAAGAAGACAAAGACCTTAGAAATACACCTCTGGCAAACACATGTCGGTGGGCACCACCAAAATCTTGACTGCAAAAACAACAAACGGGAATGCCTACGAGCTGTTTCTTAGATATGGCAAAACACACTGCTGGTTTTCCAATACTTAAAAATCATTACTAATGACAGCAGCTTTCTGTCACATCTTAACTCTATCTTCATTTCTTCAGATATATCCTAAGTATCTGCCTTAAGAGCAAAACATTGTGCTAGAATTTTAGAAATGACAACTATATTAAAAATAATGAATTTTTAAACACCATTTAGAAATGAATTAGAAAATCAATGTGAAAATGAACAGAGCACAGAAATACTTTAATCTCCAATCTACCGTAAAAGTTCATTTTTATAAGCTTCATTTATCCTTATAAGAATCATTTATTTTTACATTGCTATCCAAAATGAACTTGATAATCCCAATTCTCTCTGAAGGCAACACTCAGTTTGCAATGAAATGTTTTCAAATAATTTCATCAATGCATGATTAATTTAGATATGAATTAATAAATCAAGAGTGCCCCCTAGCGTTAAGAAAAATAATCAAATTGTTAAAGGAAATGTATCTTTAATCTATATTACAAATCAAACATATAAATTTAAGGCTAAATATTAACTGAAAAGAGGCAATATACCAGGAGTAAACATTGATACATCTATAAACTATTAACAGTAGCTAATCAAGTTTTCTCTGCCTGTTTTTAATTGTTATTCAAATATTCCATGAAAATTAAGGTCATATTAAAATCAATTACATGTAAAAAAAAAAAGTACAGCGAAGCATACCTTAACAAAAATGCCGTTCATGACAACTTACACACGTACTACCCGTCAATAGCACTTAACACTGTAAGTACAACAAAGCCTCACGATTCTGTAAAAACACCTCAAGTCCTGAGAGACAGGCATGGGTTTACTCCTTTATGGTGTGTGCCTCAAGACTTTTCTATGCTTTGCACACAAAATGTTGAAATTAAACAAGACAAATGCACGCTTTAATATTTACTTTTCCTATCACTATGTATAAACGGCACAATCATTCGCAAAAACACCAACATCGCAGCAGCTCTTTCCTTAACATTATTTCTCAGCTATTCTCTTCTGATACTTCTAAAGATAGCTAATCTGTCTTTTTAAAGGGTTTAAATCCCAAAAAAGCCATAGTGCTTCAATATAATCCCCAAACATGGATATTGCTTCTTTCCAAGCAATATAATCCCCAACTTCTAGGAAACCTGAATAGATTTAGTTCCTTGCTTGAGGTCCCAGAACTCAATTATAAATTGCAGGCACAATCATTCAGCCTCCCAACTCCCCACCTTCTCTGTAAAGTTAAAGTGACAAGTTCTCACTAACTAATCTAATCTCATTTAATAATACCAGTTACATATTCTTCTCTGAAATAATTTATATTACCATCATTAGAAATATTATGCTAAAGACACTTAACAGCTACACTCTAGAAGAGTTAAGCAACTATAAGGAAAATGGCGGAGAAATGCAATTAATTAGTGCAATTTCTTTGTAAATACTCAGACAATACAGAATTGATATGCTTCTACAGGTTGGCTTAAAAATCTCCATACTGGAAATTCACCTTATCAAAACTCCGGAGGGAAAAAGAATACAGGTAAGCGATATTCAATCAAGCGCTACTTACAACAGTGAAAATCAGAAGTGGCTTTAATGCCTTTGTATATAACCACAATAAAAAATTCAAATGGATAATTATAAGAAAAAAAACCCCATGAAAATAGAAGTGATCGGTTCAACAAAATAAACTAAACCTTCTTATTGGAATCGTTAAGTTTCAAGAGAAAAAAAAAAGGGTAAAATTAAAACACCATAATTGCAATTCAATATTTAAAAGCTGTTTTACATCTTGCTTTCCTTTAAAATGTATTTTTAAATAAATATTAAAGAGACAGTGTATATGACACTCACGGAGGGCCCAAAGATTTAAGCAGCCTGTGTATCACAGCACTTTCGGCATGTCTGACAGCTAAATTTACATTGCCTTCATTTTTTTAATCTAAGAAAATCAGAGATTAGTCCCAAATTCCCCAGCACTTTGTTTCAATAATTACAGCCATCAAAATGCTGATGAGTAACAGAAAAAGACTGTTTTTGACATAATTGATATTGAGCTATTTTGACAAAAGTTTAATAAAGAATGTGATTGCCTCTTAAAACCATTTCTTCTATAGCACTAAGCAAGATCATCTTTGCTATTTGCTTATAGCAAGTTCAAGGTATTGCAAAAGAAATTAGAAAGAAAGGGGTTCAGATGCACATCCAGGGTTATGGGAGGTCCTCGCTGCCTCCCACAGAGAAGTCCTCAGTCTCCTTCCTTTGTGCTTCCACTGCTCTTCTGTCAGAATTCTGCTATAGTTTCACATTGACTTATTTAAGTATATCTCCTGAATGAATTTTGAATTCCTTGATGTTAAAGACCCATATTTAAAACAACATAGAACAGAAAAACGGTTATTTTTTCATCTGTTTTCAAGCTCATGAGCACAATACTTGATCTCAACTGCCTACCAAAGTATCTGTTAAAAGATGAGTGAATGACTGAACAAAGCAGTTGTTCACAGGATAATATTAGATAAATGCCCACTTAATAAAAGTACAGGGAGAATGGCAATCAAATAATCAACACACACAACGCTACACACATTTAAAAGAATATGATGAGGATTTCTATTTCCAGCAACACGGCTGAAAAACAAGGTAAAAAATCTTTGTACCACAAAAGAAACTTGGAAATGGTGGCTTGGATTTTGGCAAGTTGGATAGAAGAGGCAGCCAAGAGATGAAAATGGAACTGAGACACACATGCTCTCCTCCTCACCCCAGCCACACACAGCTTTACCTAGAATTAAGTCAGAGAGATTGGTAGTCTACCCAATCATTGATAAGATGGTCTATAAAAAAATACTGGTACAGGAAGATAAGGACTTGTGTATCTTGGCCTGGGCTTAATCCTGAGGCTGGAGGAGGGCGCCTACAAAATGAAAACCTGTAATCCAGGCTTGGTCCAGCACTGACCCAGAATTTGAATTTATACTGCTAGCATGGTCCAGACTTTCAAGACTACAAATTCTCATAAAATACGTTCACAAGCCAGTGAGACTCCTGCAACCCAAGGAGGGAACAGAAGTTTAGGAGAAGAACATTCCTTCAACCCAGGCAGTGCGGGATTCCCACAAACAAAGCCGCACTAGCAAGCTCAGGAGAGAAATCCAGTGACTCTATAAACAAACAACCCACTGCAAGTAACAGCAGGGAACACAGGAATTATTAGGATTACCTCTGGGGAACTTTAGACGAAAAATTATCAGTTACAGGTTATAAAATAGGAAAGATTAAAACCAGCAGCCTTAAAAGAAGAAACTGAAAATACAAGACATTATAAAAAAGCAAGACAAACATTCGTAAGAGAACCAAATAAAAGTAAATAAAAGTTTGTTTGTTTTTTAAGAAATGAAATATACAGTCACTGGAGAACTAAGCTTCAGAGTAACACA